GCTCCCACTGCGAGGATCGACCGGAGGACACGGTGGAGCACACCGTGGAGGTGTGCTCTGCTTGGGCGGAGCACCGCCGTGTCCTCGTAGCGGCGATAGGCGGCGGCGACCTCTCGCGTCCGGCTCTGGTCGAAGCCATGGTCCGGAGCGAGACGGAATGGGATGCCGTCACCACCTTCTGCGAAGCAGTGATGCTAGCGAAGGAGGTGGCGGAGCGGGAGAAGGAAAGAGCAACAGCTTTCCTTCCCGGCCGCCGCGGGAGACGCCCCGGGCGTCGGGGGCTACGTCGTGGCCCCCGACCACCGTAGGCGCGGGCCTATGGACGGCGAGCAATGGGTAGCTCGCCGTCCGTCCGTCTAACGACGACAGGCCGTGTCGACGGCGCGTTTTGTTCCACGCGCGCCTCAAAGAGCTGTCAGCAGCAGTAAGCCAAGTGTAAATTCTAAATTAGTTATAAATAAAGGAGATGAACTTCGTTCCATACAAGCTTAGGCCCGGCGTAAACAAAGTTCAATTATATCTTAATTTGAAGATTTAAACATTTGTTACGTATGACAATAAATTATATTTTGTAGGACCTGGGGTTTTGTTTTTATTTTGCTTTATTTAGTAAAATCACTTGTTCTTGGTGAAAAGTTGTTTCAATAAACTGAAAAAAAAAACACAAAAGGATGCCGTTTTTAGTTATTATTAAATAAAATAAATTATAACTAAAACTTTTCTAATTGTTTAATTTTTTTTCTGCAATTATTAATAAAATGTCATCTAGAAAAGCAGCCGGAGGCTGTACATTTTCTGTTCTATTCCTCTCAAAATCCGTAACACTTTATTAATCATTATCACTATGTGGGCGCAACAACATACTGTCCTGTAAATCGAGAGAAAGCCCATGGGTCAAGTTAAATTAATTCACGAAAATAAAAACTCGAAATATATCCACAAACACAACCACAATGCCAAATACGCATGACAAGTTTAAACTCGAAGTTACCAAGTTAAGTCTCCTTCAAAACAGACAATGAACCACGACCATACAGCCATTTATATCGTGTCCAATATTATTCAAATATTTTGTTTAGTTTAATAATCGATTTTCTAAAGAGATTTCTTTTATTCCTTATTAATCTCTACAGATTCGCCTCAATGTTTCAATATTATGAGTTTTTTTGATACTGAAGGCTATTTATTACAAAAAATAGTCTTCATTATCTATTGCCAGAGACAAAATACATAAAAATATTTAAAAACGTTTTGTTTTTGCTATGGTAAAAGCATTAGCTTTGGTTTTTTAGGTTTATAAAATGTTTTTATGATTGTCCCATACACTACAGAAATAAAAACCATGTAATTATGCTTATAAATTATCGTTATATTACCTACATATTTTTGTATTACTGTTACGAACGATATCAACAACCCAATTTCATACATCTCCTTTCCTTGTAATAGGATTCCATCCTCCTCACCTGACTGCAACTTTCCACACCTATTGCGTAGTGGTAAGAAATACTTAGGAGTGATTATTGATGACAAATTAAATTGGTTGGCACACATTACTGCGGTTAGTAACAGAATAAGAAAGTTCATATATGTTTAAAAATTTAAGAGATGTTTTAGATAATGATGTTATAATCAAGGTATATAAAGCCCTCGCAGAATGTGTTATTACTTACTGTATTAGTTCATGAGGTGGGGCAGTTAAAACACACCTCATTGAACTCGAATCTGCACAGCGTGCATTATTATAAGTCATTAAAGGCCTACCTTATTTTATTTATTACCTGACCTGATTACCTGACTGAGGACTTATACAAAAAATGTAGCAAACCATACATAAGTTTTACATTTTCAAGTCTATTCGTAAATTTCAGAAAACTACTGCTATAAGTGATAAGAGGACCGTCTGTTATCCCTTGCCTGCCTACCAAAGCAAATTTGCTAGAAGACACTTTAACTACTCTGCTACATTACTGTATAACAAATTAAACACCATTTTTAAAACAACACATCTAAGTAATCATGATATTAAGTCAATTTTATTAAAGTGGTTAAGTAATTTTAACTATAACGAAACTGAAAATCTTATTGTTTCCTCTAAATAATATTTATATAATAATACGACAGTTGTATAGGCACAATTAGTATTATTATTATTATTAATATTATTTTGAATTGAGATGCTACATTTATCTATTTAGATTTTCCCTGTAATGGTAGATGTTAGTAGGAAATATAAATAAATAAATAAATAAATTACACACATACACACACGCACCCACACACGCACAAATACACACAATCACTCACACATTTTATTTTATTATTATTTTTCGCTTTTTTACTTTGTTAGTTTTTATTTTATTTTATTAGAAGACGTAGCCTGTAACACAGTTTTCAACTATCACAGGCTACAGAGTTTCAATATGATTTGTGTATGTAGAAGTTATGTGAGAAACAATAAATATTATTATTATTATTATTAATACTGTTACAGCCTCATCAAAAGTATACCACTGAACATAAAGCTCCCCCATAAATTGTCTCATATGGGGGGGTATTCTTCATAGTTTTACGTGGTAGAGCCATGCTGCAGCTATATTATGGTTGTAGTACGAATGGGTCGGCTCGAACGGGGAAGGACCACGCTCTCACAGAAAACCAGCGTAAAATAGCAGCTTAACGCTGCTGTGTTTCGTATGGTGAGTGTAGAGAACCGGAGACCCTTTTTACTGGCAAAGAGGCATTCCATCTTAGTCCTCACGGGTGACAACACATCTGCATCTTGAATCTTTATTGAAGATAGATGTAGATGTCTATGGGTCACAGTAACCACTTACCATCAGGTGGACTGTGTGCTCGTTTGTCACTCGATCCTATAAAAAAAAAATAGTTGCCAAACTTGGCCAGCAATCTGGCGACCACAGTTTTTTGTATTAAGAAAGACGTTGGTGCTGATCTCCTGGGTTGTCTTTCTCTGTCTCCTCTTATGACGCCCACAGTTTGAATTCTGGTAGTAGAAATTCTATTACCACTACACAGTTAAATGTCAATATCCAATCATCAATATCTTTGCATTAATATCATGTATGAAAGATTAATTATGCTGCACCTATGAAAGCATAGCTTATTAATCAGTAATAAGTCTCTACTCTACTAACATTCTATTTGATGTTTTAAAATAGTTTTTTTTTTAATAGGATAGGGTGACAAACGAGCACACAGTCCACCTGATGGTATGTGGTTGCTGTGACCCTTATACGTCTACATCTATCCTCAATAAATAATCAAAATGCAGATGCGTTGTCACCCATGAGGACTTAGATGGAATGCCTCCTTTCCAGTAAAAATGGTGTCTACACTCACCATATGCAACACAGCAGTGTTAAACTTCTATTTTACACTGATATTCTGTCAGAGCGTGGTCCTTCTCCGGTCGAGCCGACCCATTTATGCTACAACTATACCACTAATATAGCAGCAGCATGTCTCTACCACATAAAAATGTTTGTATGTTAATATGATTTTGCATTATTTAATTACAACTACCAAAAGTGCACAGCTGAACATAGGCTTACCCATATTGTCACATATTTTTCGTAGTTATCAAGCTTGGCAGATAAATTAGCAGCAAGTTTTTTTTTTTAAATTGAGTTGTAATTAGGAAGATATTTATCTCGTGTTGCATTTCATTCTTAAGCCGCATATCCACCAAAAATGTTGACAACAGTTATGTTTCCAACTGTTTCCAACAAGCGTCTTCACAGAGGGAACAAATGTTGGCAACAAGCTTATTCCTTTGATGTTGCTGCCGAAAATGCAAACAAATTTTGTTGGCAACTGTTTGGCAACAAAACTTTGGTGAAGATGTGGCTTTACAATGCCTATAGGATGATACAGGGTAATGAATTCTCGATTTCTAACAGAATTTAGTACCACATATATATTTTGGTTGTGAGTTATTAAGAAATCCTTTTAAAACCTGTTAATGCCACATCATCATCAAAAAATCCTGTGATCTATTTAAGGGGGTGATTTAATCTTATAAGGGTGCATGTTTTTAAGATATGATATGACATTAAGTGTAAAATTCTAAGTTTGACTCATTATCATAATTACATAAGTATTTAAATGTGACTGTTATACAATCAAAATCATCATCATCAAAGCAGATGAGCTTTAAGTTTATTGCTGCCATTTCCCTAGAGTCTTACACAAAGTACATTTCTGAGACATCTGCACCATTAATTCCACAGGTCATACTAGGCTTTCCCTACATTTTACTGTGGGCCGGTTAGGGATCTCTTTCCCACTGAATAATGGTACTTTAAGCTAATATGGCTGGGGTATTTCCATTTCAGCTTACTAATCTATTGGGCTATGTTGGCTACCCTTGCTCAACTATAGAATTCATCGGAGTCCTTTCCACAACTCATTGAGACTTAAGCTTCCTCACACAACCAACATTTTTAAACAACTTGACTTAAGTAAACATACTTATCAACAACTTTAACTATAGTGTTAACAATGGGTATAGGAATGACATATAGACATTAGAATTAAAATATTAGTAAAAATAAATGCTTAAGATGAACAAATTATACATTCCTTCAAAAATGTAATCACTAACTTAGATCTTATAGTATATTTTAAAATTACTCTTAAAACTTTTTATTTTTATTATTACAATATTAGAAAATAAAACCCTCATAAATTATGAAGGAGACTGCATTGACTTAACTGAAAACAGAATATCACTAAAGGTGACCACTTGGGACACTGGAATGTTTTCCTTATCCAAAATGTAATTACTTTAGGCACTATCAGAGTATTAGAAATGTGAAACAAATGGGGCAGAGAATAAATTATTTTATATAGGTATCTGTGACTGTCAATTTCAACATTTCTTAATATGGACATAAAGGTTATTTTTGCCTAAAACTTCTTATTAAATATACATGAGATCATTTGAAGTTTTATATGATTGAAGTTATGGGACTTACCAGCAGGTGGGTGTGGCGTTGTCCACGGTGTCCTGGTTGGCCTGCGAAGGAGACTCGGCTCCCCGCGCGCCACCCGCCACTGAGGAAGCCGTGGTGCCGCGCTGCTCGCTCACTGCCCCGGCATCATCACTGTCCTCACAACCGCAACCGCACTGATATTATCTCGACCGTAACGACACCACTACTTGCATCTCTACCTGAAACCACCACACATCACCGTGTTACTCACGAACGATTTGCGAGTAACTTCTCGGAGTACGAAGTAGACGATATCACTGATACACTGCACATAAGACAAATCATCTGTAGCGAACTATCTAAAAACACTTTCGAGTGCTCCGATCACGCCCAAAATCATCACTCACGGATATATTCAGCGTAAAAATGGCAACCTTCAAAAATAATGACCCAACTAATCTCGCAAGTCCACCTAAATAATACTGTAATATTTATAAACTTTCACGATTTAATTATAGCCCAGACGTTACTATTAACGTTTGAACATAAGTAAAAGCTAAGAAAATATTATTTATAAATAGCTTTAGATTATTTTGATACAAATCTATATCGGTCGAACATCACTTCATACACACCCCTGATTCGGGTGGAGCAGATCCTCTTCTTTCTCTTTATTATAGGTTTATTATAAGTAAATTAGCACGTATTAGTTAATAAGACTACAATTAAATGACCTACACCCTGATAACTACAAAGACATTTTTGTAGCAATGACAGCGATCCGTATCGGCTTCACAGAACCTACAGAAAAAAATCAACATGTCGCCTGCTGTGATATTACAGAAAGGTGTTTATAGTGGTGAGCTAAGCTGAGTTTAGAAAATCGAGATAAAGGGGCGTGGTCAGCTGAATCGAGATTTTCAAAGTTTGAAGTTCAAACTCGTGGAATAAAACGGTGTCGATATTTAATAAAATATGATGTTTAGATATAGATAATATAAATATTTAAGCCAATACTGATAAAGAAAGTCAAAACCAATAGATATTTGTTTTAATTCAACATAAAAGATTACATACAATATAAAGACAAAATACATTGACAAATAATAATGTATTAGGATGACAGGTATCTTCGTTTATAGCAATGATGAATAAGGTTGTATATTATAACAAAGAGAAATACTACAATCATCCGTCCTTGAAGCTCCAACATAATCGCGTAGATATGAGGGAGGCCGTCTGTCACGAGTGGAACGGCAAAGTCCGCTATTTTCGGTATCATGGTCTGTACTGTTATCATTTTGAACATTTTCGGTTTATTCAGATTGTATAGGTTCTACTGACTCATTGCTTGTATTCATATCAGGGCGGATATTATTTCCATTATCTTGGCCATTTTCATTTTCATCTTCACTAATCCGAATCATAGGTAGAGACGCCAATTATCTATTACATTATATTATACATTGCATTCTCGGCCATCAGAGAGACGTACATGTAAGTTGGATTTGCGTGAAGAACTTCTGCTTCTTCAACAAGTGGATCATATTTGGATGTTCTCATATTTTCCTATATGAGTACAGGTCCAGAGTTTATAAGCCACGTAGGTAAAGATTTTCCATTAGGCGGACGCCGTGGATGATTGAACATTTTTTCGTGAGGAGTGACGTTTGTACTCGTACATAAAAGGGACCGAAATAAGTGTAAAGCATTGGATAAGACTCTTTCCCAGTTTGAAATGTCCATATTCTTTGAACAAAGACTGAGCTGTATCGCTCTCCATAATGTGCCATTTAGTCTTTCAACTTGGTCATTTCCCTGAGGATTGTAAGGTGAGGTTCTGCTTGTAGTTATTCGAAGCGATGTTAGAAAATTTTTGAGCTCTTCTGATAAAAAAGTAGTACCTTGATCGGAATGTACGTATAATGGAAATCCAAAAGTGTGAAAGAGATCTTTCAAAGATCGTATTATACTATATATATAATTTATTTATTTATTTAACAAGTACACTTACAATATACATATATGACATTGTCACAAAAACTTACACACTTTTATATTTTTGTCAGTAGGTATCGCTTTTGTGTATTCGATGGGAGTGGGCCTTTAAAATCGATATTTATTCTCTCGAATGGAGCAATGGCTTTTATCAACTGGTCTTTTGATTGACAGAACCATGGTTTTATCTCAGCACATACTTTACCAGATGCTGTCGTTAATCTTATTTCTCCAACAGAATATGGAAGATTCTTTGATCTTATCCAGTGTACCATTCTGGTAACACCAGGATGACATAGTTGGTCATGTAGTTTATACAGCTTATTAGGATTCATGAGAGCACATACTCTTGATAGTGCATCAGCTACAGTATTTTGTTGTCCTGAACGATAAATTATGTCGTATTTGTAGCAAGACAGTTCTAAGCGCCACCGTTCAATTTTATTATTTTTTATTTTGCTTGAATGTTTTTGATTGAACATAAAAGCAATAGACTAGTAATCGGTTATTACGATATCTTCCAATAAGATAGTGGCGCCATTTACGATTTGCTTCCACAATTGCGCTTGCTTCTTTTTCTATAGATGAATGCGCGTTCAGTGTTGAACAAAGTTCTTGAAAGGAAAGCTACAGGGCGACCATTTTGAGAAAGAGTTGCAGCTATTCAGTGCTCGAATGCATCTCATGGTTTCTACTTTAAAAGTTTCGTCATTGTCAATATCTGTCAGAGACGTTTTGGCTATTTCCAGTTTTAAAATGTTAAAACAGTTTATGGCTTCTTGGCTAAGTGGGAATCGTGTATTATCAATCAAACGCTAAATAAGGTATGAAAAGTTGTAAATCCACTTCGAATAGTGAGCTAACATACGCAAAGTATGTCATATGTTAGAGTACGGAGATCCAATAGTGGTTTTAATCGTTCTTTGTCTGGCCTGATAACGTCGTTCTCAATGGAATAGCCTAATAGACTTATACTTTTTGATCCAAAAGTGCATTTCTTCTCAATCAACTTAAGTTTGTATTTCTTCACAGCGTTCATAAATTGCTGCAAGTGTTATCGTATTCGTCTTTATTTTTGCCACGTACAGTCACGTCATGTAAATAACAAAAGATGTCTTCAGCTTCAATTATGAACTGTAGCGTTTTCTGAAACGCAGCCACGCCATTAGTGACTCCAAATGATATACGAGTAAATTGATAAAGGGAATCACATGCTTCAAATGCTGTATATTTTCGTCCAGCCCTTAAAATCGGCACTTCGTGATAAGCACTTTTTAAATCACTGAATTTTGACTGAAATAGTTGTAATTTGCAACGTAGGAAACCATAGATTCAATGCCAAATACGCATCAAGTTCAGTGAATCTATTAATAATTTTGGATAATCAATGACAAGACGTTTTTGATGTGTAGTGCCACATGTTACTAGTACTTGTATTCGCCAAACAATTTAGAAACTTATCCTCTAATAAATTGTTCATTAATTTTTATATAACGCCTTGACTTTATTGCAATTGGCTTTATGTTTAGAAAAAGGTCCTTAAATAACGATACTGGAGGCACTGATGCTTCCATACCACATATTTTTAAGAAATCACTTGAACCCCCAAAATTGAATTCTAATGTCTTGTGGTTTTTCAATAAATCATATCCTAGGATAACATCTGCATATAGGTTATTAACAAGTAGTAAAAAGTAGTTATTAGCAATTAGTAGTAGTAGTAGGTTGATTTGAATATGTATACTTATCTAAATTTATCGCTGCATATGTAATGTCTTCTACAAAAGAAATACGACAAAGGGAAGCCAAAGATATAGCCTGCTTATGTGGTCGCATCTTTAAGTTTATATTTTGGGCTAATGTCTTATTTATAAAACTGACAGAACTTCTGGTGTTAATCAGAGCTTCAGCGTGGAATTCATTAATCATAATAGACCCTGTCGCTTTGTTTTAATAACATCCGCTACTTCAGTGTCTACAACATTTACAGTTGGTGTTCCACTTTTGCAAACAGTAGCGAAGTGCCCTTTCTTTGAACATAATTGAAAGTATTGTTTTTGAAAATAAACAAAGATGGAAGTGTCAAATTAGTCATCTTGAAAAGGTCCTAAGTTATGGATTGCTCATATCAGTTCCATTTGAAAAATGAATATTTTTTCAATTCAGCTACAGAACCCTGTAGTAAAATATCATAGGATATGTTACTGTAAGAGTAAGCAAAGTAGGCTAATTTAGCTGTTGCTTCATTAGTCACTCCTCTAATCCTTGTAGTAGCGAATATTGCAGAACCAAATTTCGAAGCTAGCATAATAAAATATGCTCCCCATTGGAGCTTGGAATCAATTGAAATAGAAATAAAATAAAATAGAAATAGAACTTTCAAAACTAGATCAAATATAGAAAAATAGATCTCTTGTAAATTGGGGTTGGTTGGTTGGTTGATTGAGGGTTGGCCCATCACCTGTTTCAGTTTCGACGATATAGGGTAGTGGATATTCTTACTGTATAAAATTATTTGATGCAATTTGGAACCAATCCATTTGTAACGGACGGCCCATTCCAATCGTTTCTTTTAACTTTAAAAAACAATTTGCTAAGAGAACTATCGACGGCGGCAGATTGCTGCTCCTGTTTTATCGTTTAATGATTTAAAGTGGATTTTGTCTCGTAAAAGCAGTGCAACTTTGTGTACTAAATGTCTGCGCATGTCAACTTTTAGTGTAAAACGCATCGGATTGGACTACAAGAGTGAGGGAATTGATTGTGCACCTCTGCTTGCACACACATACTTGTGCACTATCTGTGCACTGTCCTGCGCAGATGGCTATTAGCTGTTGAGATCGAAATTCAGTATGGAGAACATTACTAAATCTCAAGATTTTTATGCACTTAAGGGCCTTGAAATATTCGTCAATAACTATTTGCTGGGTTGAGCTATAGACACATAGACATGTCTCCCAATAATTTTGCAATGTCACTATAGATGTGAAGGCGGTTGTCAACGATTTCAACCGAGTGGATAACAACGGTTCTTTTCGTTTCCAACGGTTGACATCCATCAACCTGAGTAGGTAAAATGTGGAAAAAAGGCAATTATAATAACTACTTCATTGAGCTACATGTAAAGCGCGATTAAAATACACGATGTTGCCACATGGTGCACTCAGGTCGGGCGGGTAGCCAGAAACAGCGATAAGGAAGAGGATTTCACAGTCATAATAGCATTCTACTGATGAAATAATTTTTTAAATCGGTCAAGTAGGTTTTTAGCATCATAGCAAAAACCGATTCAGTGTAGCAACTCGCACAAATAGTAAAAACGTAACCATCCTTTTTCGTCTGTAGTCGGATATACAACCAGTTGACAACGGATGTGTATCAGCTGCTTTGGATAAATATCCGTTGTTAACGGTTGCTTTAAACCTGTCCAGTGTGACACATCAACGTATTGTAAAGAATTTGTGAATGAAGT